GGATGGAAGAATTTTATAAAACACATGATGCGGAAAGGCAGACCAGATCATATTAGCATCTTAGGTAACAATAACGAGTCCATGTCTAGAAATCTTTTGTGACTTAATCAATTCACTGAACTCGATTGAGGACTCGATGGGCTGGGACACACAGAATCATTCATCGTCTCCACAGTGGTTTGATGTATCCACCTTACTCTGGTAGATGAATCGCAAGGTGTCCGGCGAGCTGTTAGGCACCCAGCCGATCATATGGGAGCATCGCTTCTGGCTTGCTCGAGCTTGCCGGTAGACTTCGTCTTGTCCCGGACTCATGCGACCAGTCACACAGACTACTTTAGCGATAGGTCGTCGATTTTCTGCCTGTTCGCGAGATATTTCTTGTTCTTCGCTCCGCATTTACAGAAATTATCCATCGCTTCCGACAATCATGCAAGTCGATGCCAATCAGCTCCGTATTCGCGACGCCAGCTCGAAAGGTGATGACATTAAAGCCATAGTCGCAGCGTGGGATTTTAATCTTCCTTATCTGGCATCTGTCGGCGCCAGCGAGATGTGGGGTGACTAGAGGTACATCAGATCATCTGTAGCAGCTTCTTATACAACAGTGACTTACATCATCATCAACAAGGACATCGGCTCGTTCGTCAACGACCTGAGGACCGCAAAGACGGCACCGCTAAGCAACGAGACAAGGAAGATAGAAAAGTTCTGCGTTATGTTGAAGGCCTCTGCAGGAAACATCGGACTAATTTGGAACTATTGCTGGAGGTGACCATAAATAGAAGTTCGCAAAAGTTACAAAAGGGGAGCAGATGCTCATCCGGATATGCGGAGTTTGTCAAAAAGGTTTGATACAGCAGTGACTCCAATTACGATGATATTATGAAACCTGATTGGTCTAGAGCCTCAAAGGGGTGGTTCTATGTAACATTGTGTGGAGTCAGCAGCCTGATAGAATGTGAGGTGACGAACAAATGCACACCGTCGCGAGCATTCTGAATCGAAAGGATGAAATATGACGTCTGGCTTGTGATTTCTCATATGAGAGAGGAGTGTGAATGGCATCACATCGGTGGAAACACCCGCCTCCGCTTCGTGGCAGCTCATGTGATCAGTCTAATTACAGGCATCCGAGCAAAAAACATTACCATCGCCTAGGAATAGTTGACATGAATAACATTGTCCAGAACAAGATTGGTGCGCGCCGGTGGTAATTCGCTCTTCAGGACCGCGATGGTCACATTCTGTAGGTTCTTAAAATCCGGAAGCACAGCCTGGACCATGGGAGCGGCGATAATGCGAGTAGGAACGACACTGAAGTTCTTGACCAGCTGTTTTCCATTGATGTCGTAGCCGACAACGTAGATGGTGCCTGATTCAGCCAGAGGATCAGCACCCACACCACTGAGTTCGAGTCCCCAATAGAAGCTGAGAAGGTCGAAAGACGTGATCTCTGCTCCCGTGTCAATAGTCAGGAAAGTGTTTAGTGTGAGTGTTCCAAGCTGCAAGATGTCAAGAAGAACAGCCGATACAGCAAATTGAGCGCCGGATTGAGGAGCTAATCCTGTCGTGACATTGTTGGCTCGCTATGAGATGTTAGGTCAGAGTCTGACTGGGTCATGTCTGGGCTTTATGGATTATACAGTGACAACAGCACCTTTGTAAGCAATACCGTGATATACTCCGACTGGGAAAAGCTCAGGGGTCACGACGCTTGTCGTGAGGTCATCGAACTTCATTGCGTTAGTGTTCATATTCATAACCTGAATTGTCATCGCATACAGTATCACGGTATGGAGTACCTGTTCTCCTGTTAAAAAATTGTGGGAAAGTGGATGCCGTAATGGTGCTGGCCATAAGCTGAATAGTGACAAGTCTCTGCATAATGGCAGAAAGTAAAGTGATGACACAAAGCCGAGACTGCAGGTAGCGTATCTGACACCTTTATGAGAAGAAGCGATGATAGCAGGTATTTTCTCATGTGTAATTTCCTTCGGAGCAAATCTATACATCCATGGTCAAAAGGAGACAACACTTGGATGGAAGCTGCGATATTTGAGAAGAGCGCCTGCTGATGATCGGCGCAAAAATTGCGTGAATTTGGCATGAGGGCAGGCAATTCGTAAAAGGAAGGGAAATCCGCCAGAGAGGGTAGCTGCAGCCAGTACACGGGCGTCGTGCAGTCTCTTCGTGGCACAAAGATAGACTTCTACTTATGAGCGCAAGCGTCTCGGAGATATCAACCGCTGCACGTGCCATAGACCATGACTTGTTGTATGCCTTTCCAACGTTGGTGCATTATCCCGAAGTCAATATGATCTACAGTGCAGCTGGTCTCATTTTACGTTGCAACGACTAATCTTAGTGTTGTGTATTTTCCTAATTCAGACATGACCCGTGCTGGACAGGCATCAACATGTGGCCTCGATCTCGCAGCATCTCGCAGCATCTCATGCTCCGTAAGCGATGCAACAGTTCGCTACGATAGGGATTCAAATCGAGAACTTCCTGTTGGTAGAATCATGGACAGGTTTCACACAACGTGCAATCATCGCGATCATCAGTAATGGCAGTCATGCAGTGCCCGTGTATTGGATGCAGAAAGACATGTGATAAAAGTATAATGCAAACCTACAATTCCGCAAAGTTTCGCAAACCTCTGCGGAATGTCCGTCCTGGCCGAAAAGGGCTGCGGCCATTTATCATAGCATGCTCTAGGTATCCCCCAATTGGCTAATAATGATTGACGTGAACAACATCATCCAGAGCGACATTAGCCCGCAGAGTCGTCAGTTCTGCAGATTCCACTGCGAATGTCGCATTCTGCAGATGTTCGAATCTCTTAGAAAGAATGACCTCATGCAACGGCGCCTGCACCAAGCGGGCAGGAACAAAACCGAATGTCTCGCTTATCTTGTTGCCTTTGAGATCATAGGCTGTTACACTTATGGTACCAGCCTGTGCAAGAGTGGAAGTAGCCGTGAGACCAGTCTCCAGTCCCCAGTAGAAACTCTGCAGGTCGAATGACTTGACTCCTGGCCCTCTAGTAAGAGTGTTGAAAGCTGCCAAAGTGACATTCCCCGCCCTTATATCAGTGACGACCGTTGTGAGAGCAAACTGAGCACCTGAACGAGGCGATAGACCGGATGTGGCAAGGGGACGCTAAAATATGGTCAACCTTGTTCTTTTTGACCTTCGAAATATTTACATTGATTCTAGCACCGCCATATTGCAGATCATGGTAAAGTCCAACGGCAGAACTTCCAAGTATGGTTGCAGTTACGTTACGCTCGTCGAACTGAAGCACTATATAAGCTCTCATAAAGACGTGGTCATTCTTGAGGAACATACGGTGTCCTTGAACCAGATATCATTTCTTTTGTCCAAGGGTTGTGGTAGAACAGTGGCCGCACATACGGTGGCTAGAGTAAGAAGGTACGCAACACTCTTCATTATAACTCACGATCTGTGGGAGATAGAGGTGCAGTCGAAGTGATCGTCGGTCTGAGGACTAAAGTTAGAATCGGACCCGGACAAGTGGTTCCCCTTTATAGGTTCTTTCTCTTTCATTCTCGGCTCGGTTCGTCTTACAACACGTAGGTGGCAGACCATCTAGATCCCGTATGACGTCCAGCTGGAATACTGTTCTCGGAACATAATAGGCTACTATTCACGACTGCCTGTTTCGGGGGTCAGCTGCTGTGCTACTCTCGATTGAACGGCGATGGTGCATTCTCCGAGAATGGAAAGGGCCACGATGCAACCGTCTGGGAAGTGGTGGTCTGTGCCTATGCTAATAGTGCCTGCGCTGCATTATTCTAAAGAAGATACGACAGAGAAAGACAAAAAATCCAGATTGGGATTTTAGCATTTTGCAATCTTTGCGCTCGCTATCGATCGAAGCCGGGCCATCACTCCGATCAATTCCAATATCCTCTCAAAGTCATCGTCTCGCAACCCAACAATCATCCCTACAGGTCAGATCGTTGTGCTTGACAAGTGTCTCAGCTCGCTCAAGGTTGCTGGAGATAGTGATTGACGTGTACGTCATTGTCAAGCGCAAAGGTGGTGCCGTCATTCGTAAAATCACGTCGTTGAACTGCAACAATCCCCTTTCTGGAGATTCTTGTATGTACCTGGAAGTATAGCCTGGACGAACAAGACTCTGATGAACCAGAATAAGAAAGGCTATGTACTATTCAACGACGAAATCTGGCAACAGCGCAATGCACCTCGGTGTATTGAGAAAGACAAACAATGCAGTCTTACGTTCCGCATAGACAACGCGTGCCCTCTCAGAAGCAGCGAGACACTGTAACCAACGTGTGGACAGGTGAGTAAATGCATTGAGCCGTTAGACTTGCCACAAACGAGGACCCGCATAGATGGGGTCTGGCCAAAGATATGTATGTCACACGTGCTCCGCGCCTGTAATTGTGCCAGCGATCACTCGCTACTTTCCAGCGAAGGCGCATTATCCAAAAGCCAACATGATCTGCAATGCGCCCGTTGTGTGGCGCTGGCTGGACGTGACATCTCTGTCATACTCGATGCTGCATTATCCCCAAAAGGCATCAACAACATGGCTGCACGATCCCATGTGTGATTTGACTCAAGATCGTGCAGAAGCAAGTACGTCACTAAACAGACCGAAAGTGCATTTTCAGAACTTCACGATGGTCCAAATCATCAGTACCCAATACGCATGAGCCTTGCAGAATATCACTGCGATATAGCAGATGCAGGTCGGTTAGAAACTACGATCGCCCACAGTAAATTCTTGTACCGTGATTACCAAAAGGTTCGAATACTTTCGCTCTGGTAGACAAAAGGCATTGGGCATCAAGTAACATTGATAACCTGATACAGGATGGACTAACCACTGTTCAACTACTAGATCTGGCAACAGTACAATCAGTATGGATTGCAGAGTTTCCATACCTACCATATCATTTGGTGATATAACGCAACAACATATCATAACGGTGAGTCTCATTCCTTCTTTCCTTCAAGCTTCACAAGAGAAAGCCCTTAGTAGTGGTTGCCATGTGTGGCATCATCGAGTCCAAGGCCAACGCGCACAGTAGGAAACTCGCTCTGATCAACGGCGAGTGTGACGTTCTGAAGATTTCTGAAAGTGTTCGGAAGCACAGCATGTGTTAAAGGGGCATTCACTTTCGTAAGTGGCTGGAACGAGAAGCTAGTCGCTAGTTGGTTGCCCTTGACGTCGAATCCGATGACCCAGAGAGTGCTCGACACGGCTAGAGGATCACCACCTAGGGGCACTGATATCGGTACCCCACCAAAAATCGAACAGATCGAAAGATTTGATAGCGCTGCCAGTATTGATAGTGATGAATGGCGACAATTTGAGAGATCCGAGTTGCAGAAGGTCGACGATATTACTCGAGAACGCAAATTGCGAATCGGAGTGGGGTTTCAACGCTGATTCACCAAGGACGCGCTGGAAGGTCGTGAGTGTCCATCGTGAAGCATTTTGCCCAACAACTTACGAGAACATTGGCACCTTTGTAGGCGAGCTGATGGTATAAGCCAACAGCATCGAACTCGGATGCAATAACGTTTGTAGCAAGATCATCGAACTACAGAATGTGTAAGTGACCGGAGTGTGTGACTCTCTGATATTGTATGAACACACATCGTCTGTGTAATTGGTATACCCCCTCTTATCGAATGGCTGCGGCAGAGTTGAGCCAGAAGTAAGGGCGGCGTAAGCAAGAAAGACGGTAAGTTTTTGCATGTTGACAGAATTCCGTCCAAGGGTTATGAATAGAGCTGGATTGATTGTCTGATGGATGTCGAGCGAAGTTGTGATGGAAGGAGAATGAGGTGTTTGTCTTTATACTCACGGCTGAATTGTGATTTTGGTCAAGATGATGTTCCATGATATGATTGTAACGCACGTTCGAAGTCGTCCTGATGCAACACTATGGTAGGCCGTCATGATTCAATGCAGCTCAACACGTTGAGTACGACACACACATGGATTGCGCATATACCAAGTATGACGTCCTACAAGGAAGCGACGCTGCAGTCGCAACAGGCGGCATGCAGCGGCCATGCGATGAGATGAATCAAGCCGGTAAACTCGTTGTGCCAGCCTGCCGAAGATCTACGTAAGCGTGGCCCGGCTCATGGCTAGTCGCACTGCTGTGCGCGCGTAACGGTTATATCAGTCAACCCCTGCTTCTCCAATGGTGGGACACGGACTGGTGATGCGATCTCTCTCATGCTGGATTTTGCATTATCTCGAAAGAGAAATCAGCAATGCGACTGCAGCGACTGCATGATCTCGCCTCCGAGCTGACCCGGGATCGTGCAAGAAGCACGTCGCCCAGATGATTGGTTGCATATTCGGAAGTCTGCAACGGATTAGATCTGCGTATCATCAGACACATATCATTCCATGTCCGACGTGAGCTTGAGCATGTGCAATTGCATTGGCGTGGCAAGACATTGGATACGATACACAAGCTGCCTTCCCAGATCCTCGGGTAATTTGCATCGTGTCGATCTAGGCATGGGCGATCGACCCAATGTATGTCACACGTGCTCTGCGCGTGTAACCGTACCTTCAGATATCCCCTGCTTTTTGCATGGTAGTGTGTTATCCATAAGTCGACATGATCGGCGATGCGGCCGTACTGTAAAAATGACCAGTTATGTCGCCTTTTCTATTTTTGGCCCTGCATTACCTAAAGGAGACCGAATTTGCGAGGTCCCCGGCTGCACTGTTGAGCGATCTGAATTTTGCAATCCAGATCTCGCGGCTGTATCGCTGTGCATCCATTGGGGGTCAGTCCTGGAATGCGAAGTATCCGGGTCGTTGGTGTCACCTCGTGCGATCGAGAAAAGGCCTCACGTGATATCAGGAGTCGGCGTCCATCAGACGTCCAGAATCATTCTGTAATTTGCAAATGTTGTAGTGACAACGAACAGCACAGGTCGCGTGCGATATAATTATGGAGTATAGATATTTAAAGGGACTGTCCGCAGACCTATGAGCGACGTTTACAAGCGACGAGAGGAAACTGATTCTGTGGTTAATCACTTCAAATTTTGACCAACAATTTCTTCTCTCTCCACAACCTGGCCATAAGAATGCAGACACCTCCGGTCAGCAACGCCGCTCCTGACCAACAGCTCAGTGCGACGTAGCCTCGTTTTTCCAGCTCGCCGGCAATCGGACTTCCAAACAGACCCGTCAGACTGACACTGGTCATGGCGGCGCCGATTGCTGCCCCCACCATATGCGGCTGAACCAGACTGCTAGCGCTCACAACTTGTAAAGACAAAATGGCGCCGCTGCAAAAGCCGTATGCGGCAATCCATATAACAACACCTGCGACGCTAGTTGCTGTCGTCCAACAGAATGCGACTATACCAGACAGCACGCAGCTCACGATGAGAGCATTGAAAACACCGAAGTAGCGATCTGCAAGGAAGCCAGGCAGGATGCGACCGACCAAAGACGCCCCGTTCGCAACGCTGACCAGATAGAATGCGAATCCTTCCGACATCCCGAGCGAAACGGCGTATGTGCTGACAAAATAGAGTGGCGAAAAGAAGCCGAGGTAGACAAATGCCAGGCCTAAGAAGAGGAAGCCACCAACAGGCGACTTGAGCAGGCCATAGTCCTTCTTGGGCTTCGCAGGGGTTGACTCTTGCGCGGAGGTGTCTGCAGAACCTTTCTCGGTCCTGGACTCCGGGGCGTCGACGTTGGACTTTTTTGGTACAGGCCTTCTGACAGTCAAGAGCACGATAGCTGCGAGTGGTATCACGATGAACCCAAGGATGCGAATGCTCCATCCGAAGCTGAGACGTCGTTTGTTGAGAAGCTGATCCATGATGATCGGCCAGACGATACCTCCGAGAGAGCTTCCACCAATGGTAACACCCTGTGACAAAGCACGGTTCCTCTTGAAGTAGAGCGGCGGGATCGCCGTTGCGGGCAATGCGACGAACGAGAATCCAACTCCCAGCAGGACACCCTGTGCCAAAAACACCTGGTAGTACTCTTTGCAGAGCGATAGCATGAATATTGCGAGAATCTCACAACATACGCCAATTGCTATCGGTATCTTGTGAAGTTGTCAGCATCCAGATCTTGAAGACGGCGTCGGGTATTATCGTACCGTAGGACCAAGCTTATCTCCAAGCATGCCTGCGGGAGCGGCAATGGCAAAGAGCATGAAGGTATTGAAGGATCCGATCCATGCTATCTGGAAGTTGGACTTGCTCGAAAGCAGATGAGCGACATAATATTGCTGGAATACACCAAAAGCATTTGAGAATCCGACAGTGATGAAGTATGAGAGAGCAGTCCCTAGCAAGACCGAAGCAGACCGCCAGCTACTGGGTGTTAGACGTGAGGTGGAGATCGATCGGGAAGGTTTGACCTCACTTGAACTCGTTGGCTTCAGCCTCGACAGCCTTGGTTGAGACCATATCTTCCGAGGATGGAGGACGAGAACATTGCTGGAATTTCTCTGTAGGTTCCGACATAGTACTATGCAAGGATGAATATCAGATGACTCCTGTATGTGGAACCTCCCACCACCGAGCCCCCTTGAATACTTATGTAGCCATATGGTTTGCTTGTGTTCGGAGCCTCCGCGGGGGGCGTTTTTGGCCCTCAGGCAGCAACATGCTGGCCGCAAGGATTAACAATCCGGATTCATGCTCGAGCCGCATGCTTATCTGATCATGGCAGTAGTGCTTACATCCGCACTGGTCATAACAGATCTGCTTGCGGCTTATTTTCTTGCAGTAAAATTGCTCCAGCTTGCGTTCAGTCTTGGACTTGAGTGTCAACCGACCAGCCTACCTTTCTAAGCAGCATAAACCTGCAATTCGGGCATGATCCTGACTTGCGAATAGATCCGATCGCGAGCAGTCCCGAGAACTTGATACATTTTCAATCGCTTATCTGCCCGTGCTGAAACTGTCAGATACGGGGTTTATCGACTTCGGCCGAGCGATGCTGGTATCCCCACAAATGGGAGGTCGATTCTACCAATGGGGCAAGTCGGGATCCGCCAAGCCTCGGACACAGCACGGAGGCTCCACGGACACTCCGCTGCTCTCTCACCTCCATCACGCGCGTTTCCATTCGTGGTTCACGGCTCTAGCATCACCAAAGCAAACCGTTTGATGAGATCGAAAAGCTTGGACGAATGACTCACACAGGATTAAACTTCGAAATGAGACCCAATCCTGGCCATGAACGATCGTGCCTGACCTCTGATCCATACGATTATCAAATGTGATCAATCAGTCAGTACTGGAAATATATGCTTGGAAGGGTACATTCCTCCGACTCCGAGTCGGCATCCAAAGCCGCTGCGTAGCATCATCCTTCCGACGAGCTTGCTGAGGAGCAAAGTAGACCACGGTCCACCATACCAATAGCTCTGTTAACTCCCAACTACTGGCAGGGCCCGTTGAGGGAGAGGTACCGGGCCACCTACCTGTCATGCCTCCAGAGCGGACTTCTGTGCCACGGCAGGAGCCGGTATCTTGCCAACTGTGCAGGCAACGAAAACTCAAATGCAGCCGGCATTACCCCTGCTCCAATTGCCAAGCAAGAGGAGTGAGCTGTGTCTACAAGACTTTAGACAGTGCTGTTCAACAAACCCCTATCGCGTCGCCATCGACATTGTCTGACGTTCTCACCGAAAATGTTGAGATAAAGAGTCGATTGACGAAGTTGGAACGGTTGATCGAGGGCCGATTGGCTCCTGGATCTGACAAGCACATCACCGGACCTGCGCCACCCCTACGTTATACAAAGCATGTCCCACCCAAACCTATTGCTGGTCCCAAAATTCAAATAGTCGAGCTTGAAGGACTTGTCAAATGCTTTTCAGACACCGAAAATCCTTCGTCATGCATTCCATTTCCGACCCGCGACAAAGGGTTGAAATTACTGGAGCAGTATACTTGTTTACTGCACGGAATGATGCCTATAGTTCACTGCCCGACGGTCAAAGACAAGCTTGAAGGGATATATGCAAATGCGACTCAACCTTTTGGTAGCATCAACACAGCAGACATTGCTTTGATTCTGGCTATATTTTCGAGTGTTGCCTTCTACTGTCATGTGGATGTCGGAGCCCACAGTTGCTTTCCGTCAAATACGGAAGCCTTGCTTGTCGCATGCAAATGGGCTAAGATTTCTATGTCCGTCACTCTGCTTTTGACTTAACCTTGTCACTGATGCTTCACAGTGATTCCACCTGGCCTCCACGAGATGACCTTACGCCAATCGAAGGATTGCAAGTAATCATGATGTATTATTTCTGTAGGTTTCGCTCTAACTTGGACGATTGCGTTGCTAACATATCAGCAGTGGTTCATCACATGGAGGGTCTATCGCCGCTCGTACGTCTGATGCACAACAGTACCGTGGCAATCGCACGAGATCTAGGTCTGCACAAAACCGATATGACCGAACGTCAAAATCTCACCCGGCAAGAGATTATAGACCAGGAAATTAGTCGACGCGTATGGTGGCACCTTTGTGGGACAGATTGGTAAGCCACTGCATGCATCAAACCCTTCCACTTGGAAACTAAGTCAATCAAGGCAATTAGCACAATTACCGGGCCCAACTGAAGGCACTTACCTCGTCAATCCTCGTCACCATAAAGTCAAACTTCCCCGCAACATTACGGATGAAGATCTCCTGACCCAAGACGCAAATTTCGCTCGACCTCCTACGGAACCCACACCAATGGCATACTTTCTTCAACGGATACGCATAGGGGAAATATCACGTACGATAGTTGACACCTGCTTCGATGGTCCATACGCTCCTCCACCGTGGGAACAGGACT